TTTACACAAATGAAAGACATTAACAGCATTAAGAAACATATCATAATGGACTTTAAAGACACTCATTTAAAAGCCAAGATAATAAGACACAGGTACCTGAATGAAAGTGACAGTGCAGTGTGTTATAATGTCTCACTTTTCACAGAAGTCGTTGATGACGCCCCAGTACGCTTCAGGAACAGCGAACCACTCGCAGTCTCCAGGACCGATGTTGATGTTTACTGAGCAGAAGTTGTTGTTCTCCTGGTGACCTGCGAGAGAGAACAATATGTTGTTAGTAACTGTGTGAGGAAATACAGACAACTGCTGTTCATACTGACATTACAAAAAACGAAAATGGAGGACTTTTTCAGGCTACATTTTTCCATTTTGAATGAATGATCCAGCTGTACATGACGCACGCTATGCATGAAGGATAGAAGGAAGAAGGGGGAGGACATCCTAGTATTTCTGAAGCTTGGAATAGCTGCCTTTCTTATGTCTCAGAAACTTTCCAAATAAAAAAAAAAAATACTTCCCAAAATTACTCGGTAAAACTCATATTTTGTGATATTTTCAAAGTAATCTCACTTTCTATTGGTATCGATATCTTGCTTTGTATGAGAGAAACACCTTTATGGAAGTTGTGAATCGATTCAGAAATGTATAACATAGAAATCCCTGACGATACATACATTGATCTAATAGCCAGTAACTGGTATAATCAATAACACCATCATCATCATCATCATCATACAATGTGATGAGTCAGCATTTAAAAAAATACAAAAAAGGGCTAAGAGTAATTTCATGATCCTGAACAATGTAATTATATGGTTGAAACATAGGATGATTTTTAAATCTAATTTTGAAGACTTTTTAAGCTTCGGGCTTTGTTGTTTAAGTTTTTGAAATATTAGATTTGTCTCCCACAAAAAAATGGAGTACTCAAAACCCTTTGCCCAAAGTTGATTGTATTTTTAGGGAAATTTCATACCCATTAAAAGAAATAGGCTAACTCCAAACCAAATTTTGGGCATTTCTATCAAGAATTTAAACAATATATTAGCACTATTAAAAACATTAGGAATAAGAAGGCAATACAAACTAATTTGATATTTAATCTGAAGTATCAAAATGTAGTTTTCTTTCCTTTTTTCTTTGTTTACTGTATGTAATGTCTTGTTGCTTTGTATGTCTACCCTTTGCCCAAACATGTTTTATCGTTCCTCTCCAGATGTGTACCTGGCGTCCGGCTGCCGGGGACCTTCATGTAGAGCTGCACCGTGTTCATGCCCAGGATGGTGTGACCAACATGACTCAGCAGATTACCAGCTGACACAACACGAGCAAACGCTGGAAGTTTAGACAACTCCTGCAGCTGCTGCTTCCACCTGAGAGGGTTAACGAGGGACGGGTTAACAAGGGTTAAAGAGGGACGGGTTAACAAGGGTTAAAGAGGGACGGGTTAACGAAGGTTAACAAGGGTTAAAGAGGGACGGGTTAACGAGGGATAGATTAACGAGGGACGGGTTAACGAAGGTTAACAAGGGTTAAAGAGGGACGGGTTAAAGAGGGACAGATTAACGAGGGACAGGTTAACGAGGGACAGGGTAACGAGGGACG